TGAGACCAGTATTATCTGAATTTCAAAACCAGATAAAGAAAAAAAATTATAGGACAATATCTCTGATGAACACAGATGCTAAAAATCCTTAACAAAATATTAGCAAATTAGATCCAGCAATACATTTAAAAGATCATACAAAATGATCAAGTGAGATTTATTCTGAAGATGTAAGGCTGGTACAATATTCACAAATTAACAAATGTAATGCCTTACATAAACAAAATGAAAGATAAAAACCATCCATCATATCAATAGAGGCAGAAAAAGCATTTGATAAAATCCAGCACCCATTTATGGTTAAACACACACACACACACACACACACACACACACACACACAAAGGCAAAAGAAACAACAACAACATACAAATCTCAGCAAAGCAGGAATAGAGGGACCATAGAGCAACATAATAAAGGCCATATATGAAAAACCTACAGCCAACATCATATTCAATGGGAAAGAGTACAAATATTCCCCTAAGATTGGGAAGAAGACAGAGATGTCTCCTTTCACCATTCTTATTCAACATAGTGCTGTAAGTCCTAGCCACAGTGATCAGACAAGAAGAAGAAATAAAAGATATTCAAATTGAAAAAGAAGTAGAACTGTCATTATTTGCACATTACACATTACTGTATAAAAAGAACCTTAAAGATTCCACACACAAAAACTACTAGAACTGAAAAATAAATTCTGCAAAGTAGCTGGATACAAAATAAATATCCAGAAATCAGTTACATTTTTGTACACCAATAATGAACTATCAGAAAGAGAAGCTAAGAAAACAATTTCATTCAAAATTGCCCCAAAAAGAATAAAATACCTAGGAATAAATTTAACCAAGGATGTAAAAGACCTATACTCAAAAAATTATAACTGAAGAACAAAATTGAAGAAAATACAAATAAATTGAAACATATACCATTTTCATGGATAGGAATAATTAACATCATTAAAAAGTCCATACTACCCAAAGCAATCTACAGATTCAATGAAATTCCTATCAAGATACAATGGCACATTTCACAAAACTTGAACAATATTCCAAAAATTTATATGGAACCACAAAAGATCCCAAATTGCCACAGCAATCTTGAGAAAAAAGAATAAAGTTAGAGGAATCTATAGATCTCAAACTATACAAGACCAGAGTAATCAAAACAATATAGTACTGGCATATGGATCAATGGAACAGAATAGAAAGCCCAGAAGTAAACCCATGCCTTTACAGTCAATTAATATTTTACAAAGGAGGCAAAATCATACAGCAGGGTAAAGATAGTCAATTCAATAAATGGTGTTTGGAATATTGGACAGATGTGTGCAAAAAATGAAACTAGACTACTTTCAGACACTATACACAAGATTAAAATCTAAATGGGTTAAAGACTTAAATGTTAGGCTCCAAACCATAAATATCATAGTATTGATAGAAAACATAAGCAGTAAAATCTCAGTCATTTCTTGTATCAATATATTTTCTGATATATCTCTTTGGGCAAGGGAAACAAAAGAAAAACTAAACAAATGGGACTACATCAAACTAAAAAGTTTTTGCCCAGCAATGGAAACTATCAACAAAATAAAAAGACAACCACCGAATGGGAGAACATTTTGGCCATACATCCAATAAGGGTTTAATATCCAAAATTTAGAAGGACCTTATAAAACTCAATACCAAAAATTAAAAATCCAATTCAGAAATTGGCAAAAGGTCTGAATAGACACTTCTCCAAAGAAAACATACAGATGGCCAAATGCATATATAAAGGCATGCCCAACAATATTAATCCTCAGAGAAGTGCAAATTAAAACCACAATAAGACATCTTCTCTGCACCTTTCATGTGGAGAAAAGGGAATATAGATTGATGCAGCTACTGTGGAAAGCAGTATGTAGTTACCTCAAAAAATTAAAAATAGCCGGGACCGGTTTGGCTCAGTGGATAGAGCGTCGGCCTGCGGACTGAAAGGTCCCAGGTTCGATTCCGGGCAAGGGCATGTACCTTGGTTGCGGGCATATCCCCAGTAGGGGATGTGCAAGAGGCAGCTGATCGATGATTCTCTCTCATCGATGTTTCTAACTCTCTATCCATCTCTCTTCCTCTCTGTGAAAATTCAATAAAATATAAAAAAAAAAAAAAAAAAAAAAAAAATTAAAAATAGATCCAGTGATTCCACTTCTGGAAATATTATATCCAAAGAAACCCAAAACACTAATTCAAAAGAATATATGCACTCTTATGCAGCATTATTTACAATCGCCAAGATTTGGAAGCAGCCCAAGTGCCCAACAGTAGAAGAGTAGATAAAACACAGTGGTACATTTACACAATGGAGTGCTACTTGCAGGACAAAGGAGGAAATCTTACCTTTTTTGATAGCATGGATGAACCTGGAAGTATTATGCTAAGTGGAATAAGCCAATCAGAGAAAGATAAGTACCATATAATTTCACTATATATGGAATCTCATGAACAAAATAAACTAAAAAAGTGGAGACAGGCTCATGAATACAGAGAACAAACTGAAAGCTATCAGAGGGGAGGGAGTTGAGGGCTGGGTGAGAAGAGTAAAGGGATTAAGAAAAGAAAACAGAGAAAGGTTCATAGAAACAGACAACAGTATGGTGATTGCGAGAGGGAAGGGGACTGAGGAGAGGTAGAAGACGGGAAAGGGGGAATAAATGGTGATAGAAAGAGACTTGACTTGATTTGGTGAACACATAATACAATATACAGGTAATGTACTGTAGAATTGTATACCTGAAACCTGTATAATTTTATTAACCAATGTCACCCCTAATAAATTCAATTTAAAAATAAATAAATAAATAAATAAATAAATAAAATAATATGGTAATGGGGGGAAGAAGAACATTTTATGGAAAGAAGGGGATATCATAATCTGTGCAGTGCACTGAGCTCTCTCCCTGCAATCCCAGGCGCTCCAGGCCAGCTTTGCTACTAGAGACCAACTGGACCAGAATGCCCTTCTTATAGAGCATTTGGGGAACGAAACCTGAGGAATCACCCAAAGTCCTTTCTCTAGAGAAGAGCAGCAGTGGCTAGAGATGTCGCTTTTCGACCACTAGATGGCGGCAGACACTAAGCTTTGTCTTCAACAATGGAGGAAGAAGGCGGTCCCTCCTCAGAAGAAAGGTGTTGATTGGGATTTGAAATACAAGGTGAGAATATTGTTATGAAGTAGTTGCCACCATTGAATACCAACTCTGTGCCAAACAACAATGTGGGAAGATTTGAATAATTTATTCAATATAGTGAATGAGCACCTATTATGTGGCTGGCACCAATCCTCTTCATAGTGCAGAGAAAGCAATAAGGAAGTAAACATACAATATGTCAAGTAGAGATAAATGCCAGAAGCATGAAGTAAGGTCAGGATGAGGAGGGATATGCTGTTTTAAGGTAGTCAGGAAAGCCTTGCTGAGGAGGTGACATTTGACTTATTAGTGCTCACAATGCCATTTTTAAAAATATATATTTTATTGATTTTTCACAGAGAGGGATAGAAGCTAAAAACATCGATGAGAGAGAATCATCGACCAGCTATCTCTTGCACATCTTCCACCAGGGATGTGCCCGCAACCAGTGTACACATCCTTGACCAGAATCGAACCTGGGACTTTTCAGTCTGCAGACCAGCGCTCTATCCACTGAACCAAACCGGTTTCAGCACAATGCCATTTTATTGAAGGGGAAATGGAGGCTAAGAAATCCACACTAATAATAGACAAATATGTAAACTGACCATATACCTCTATGATGCCCACAGCCAATCGGGAGTGAATATGCAAATTAACCTGACAAAGATGGTAGGCCTGTGGGCAGTGTGCAAGTGGGCAGTGAGCGGCCAGGGGAGGGATGGGATGCCCACATACCCTCTGCATAGCCAGGGCAACACTGCAGGCATCCCCAGGACCCTGTCCACTTTGAACCTGTGGCCAACGTAAGTGTGCACATCAGCACTGAGTGGCTGGGGTCCCATGATGCTACTGGAGTGTCTGGTCCTGTCAGTCTGACCTGGGGGGGGAGGGTGTAGCTGTAGTTCACAGTCCTTTTGGTTTGTGCAGCCCCTGGACTTGAAGCAGAAACCAGGAGCATGGGGAGCACCAGAAATTCTGGGAGTCCTAGTTCTGGTGGCAGCCCCTGGACCAGAAAGGGAAACCCAGAGCATGGGAAGCACCAGGAATGCTGGGAATCGTAGTTCTGGTAGCAGACATGTTGCAGGATCTCCTAGACCAGTGGTTGGCAAACTCATTAGTCAACAAAGCCAAATATCAATAGTACAACAATTGAAATTTCTTTTTGAGAGCCAAATTTTTTAAACTTAAACTTCTTCTAATGCCACTTCTTCAAAATAGACTCACCCAGGTCATGGTATTTTGTGGAAGAGCCACATTCAAGGGGCCAAAGAACCGCCTGTGGCTTGCGAGCTGCAGTTTGCCAACCATGGTCCTAGTCACTAGAGCATAGTTACTGTTGCAGGTGGGGGATGGAGGGAAAGCAGAGGTGAGAGATAAGTAAAATCAGAGTGTCAAGGAAAAATTAAAGGGAAGATGTCTTGCAACTTTAAGGAAATCTCCACCAGTGTAGCAAAGAAAAAAAAGAAGAAAAAAAAGGTCTCTATTATTGTGAGCACCAAACCAAACTGGGTTAGGGACTCAGACGATTTGCTCATATGATTGCAAAGACAGACAGAAACTCCCGGATTAGAGAGGGCTCCCCTGAGGGCTCCCAGATGGAGAGAGTGCAGATCAGGTGGAGGGACCACACCACGAATCTTGCGCACTGGGCCCCTAGTGTAAAATAAGTTGTCTATTGGATCCTGGAGGTGGGAATGAGCATGGACAGGGGACAGGGGAGATTGGGAAGAGGTTCAATAACCCCTCCCCTTCCCTGTTAGACAGAGATGTGCCACAAAACCCATGGTTGGAGTCCCTCCCCCACCTCCAACCCTAAAACCGCACCCCTCACCTGTGAAGAAGAACCATAGCACTCCTAGGGTAGTGGCCACGTGCACACCCCTGCCACGGCTGCCCATCTTCCTCGGAGACAACTGACGGCTGGGCTCTCGGTGGCAGAAGGCTTCCCCTACCTGTGAGAAAGAGGAATGGAAGCCTTTGTCTCGAATGGTTCTCTCCAGGCATATTCATCCCATCTCCCCTGGACCAGCGTGGGGCAAGATTGCAACTGCCAGCTGAGAGGTCCTTCCTCCCACACACCCACAAAGCTCTCTGCTGAGGGAATTTTCGAGAGATGCTGGCAGGAATTGAGTCACTGGGGAGGGTAAACCAGGAGAAGTGGCTATGACCCACCCTTTCAGAACTAAAATGCAAGTATAAGGAAGAAGAGCAAGTAGAGGCAAATAAAGTCAAGGTCAGCCTGCTCTGAGCAAGGATGTGCTCAGATCAGTGTGCGGAGAGGAGCTGAAGTTGGAGCCAGACTTAAGACAGAGACTAAGAGGTCTGGCCTTTACTTTAAAGGCAGCTGGGAGCAACCAAAGATTCTAGAATTGAGGAAAGGATATGGTCCTACTTTGCTTCATAAAGATTATTCTGCAGGCATCTGCAGGACAGAAGTAGAACTGTGTGAAAGATACAGGACTGGAGTGTGTGAAGACAGAGAAAGGGAGCAGTGAGGGGCCCACAGTTTTGTGCCCAGTAACCTGTGGGGTGCTCAGACAGAAATGGGTTCCGTGCAGGGCATGGTTTGTGCAGAAACTTCCAGGAACAAGTTTTGGGAAGCAGCTGGGTGTATGAGTGTGGGGCCCAGAGAGAGGGAACATTTGCTAGTTTCATAGATATTGATTGAGTGACCAAGACAATCAGAAATGGAAGAGGCTGACCTCTTGGGGCTGATCCCCAAGACTAGAGGCAGGACTGAGTGAGAGGTATGTCTGTGGCCTCGGCAGGGACCCCAGACCCCCCTGGGTTCAGCCCTGCTCCCAGTCTTGGCTGTGCCCAAGGTGTCTGACCTGGTAGGCTGCTCAAACCTTGTCTCTGTGTACCACAACTGCTGCCTGATTGCTCCTGCCAAGCCACGTAGCCAGTGTTGATCTATGCTATCCACTATGATTGCCAAGCCTATAAACAATTTTATGTTCTTATAGCCACCATGGGAAATAGGCTGACCAGCTTGATCCATTTTGTAAAAGGAAAAATTAAAGCCCAGATAAGTGAAGTGACATATTAATATGATGTAATTTGATAGAACGGTTGAGAAGTATTTGGGTTCCCAGTTACAACTTTCTGTCCTTCCACAGACCAAATCTCTACATTAGCATCAGCTCCAGTCACAGGTAACTGGCTTCAACCCTTCTAATCCCAACCAAGAATCCCCCCAACCCACACACACCCAGAAGCTGGGCTGAGGAAGTCCCTCAGCCAGCCCCCTTCCCAGCTGTCCACAGTGGGGAAGTCCTGAGCAACCACTTCCTTCCAGAGGCTTCCGTTCCAAACCTGGAGGCCCAAAGCCACTGCTGCATCAGCAGTCTCTCCCCATCCCACATTCAAAGGCACCCTTGGCTGCAAGGGCCACCATGGCCCTCAGGAAAAGCCAGTGAGTGGCCTGCCATGTCAGCCTGCCCCTCCAAGGAAGCATCAGGACTAAGGATTAAGAAACTCCAAGATTGTAAGTCCCCCTTCCTCACATTCACCCCCAGACAAACTGAGGCCTGTCTGTTTTTTCTGGGCCCTTCCCTCACTCTCTCCCTACTGCTCTTGCCTACAGTCTCCTACCCTGTCTGCCTCTCAGCTGAACCCTTTGAAGAGGTAGAAAATTTGAGGTTTTAGTCCTAGCTCTAGCACTTTTCTGGGCAGTCTTCACAGATGACTTCCCTCTCTGAGCTCAATGTTCCCATCCATAAATGAAGAGCTTTGCTGGATGCTATTAGAACTTCATTAGTATGTTTAGCCTTCATGTACTAGTTAAAGTTATCCAATTAGCTGCCATGCAGGTTTCATTGAAATGTACAAAACCACTATCACAGAAATGACAAGTTTTCCTCTTACACCTAATCTTTTCTTCTTCTGTAGAATTTTCAGTTATGCACATGCTGCTCAGCTAAAGACTACAGATCCCAGCCTGCCTCGCAGCTAGCTGTGGTCATTTGACCATTTTCTAGCTAATAGGATATGAGAGCCACTGATATGTACAACTTCTGGGCCATGCCCTTAAAAAGAAGACATATAACCTCTCTTTTCTTTTCCCCTTTCCCACTGGCTGGAACACAGATGTGGGGCCATGCTGCCAAAGGCAGCACCCTGGGGATTGCAGAGCAGCAAGATAGAAGGCTCCTGTGGGGCTGTAGTTTCAGCCCTGGACTATCCGGACTGTCACAAGGGTGAGAAATAAGCATCTATTCTAGCATAAGTCACTGTTGTTTTAGGTCTTTCTTACAGCACCTGAAATGACTAATCAGGGAACCATCCCTCTGTTACTTTCCTTTCTTCTCTCTCCACTCTGCTTACCCCACGAAAATTGCCACTGCTCAGAGCAGCAAAAGAAACTACATAGAAAATAGGTATTTCAAAATAAGAACTGGACACTATCTCATTGGTGTCTGGCCCAAATTTGAATTTCAAAGGTAGACATAATGGGCTTGTTTGTATAGGAGGGAAGGGCTAAAAGAGTAATGTGTACTGAAGGCTTGAACAATTGAACAAATGGGCATGTGACACACATAAGATGGGAACACCTGGAAAAGAAACATGTATAGGGGGGAGAACAGTTCCTATTGGGCTTGAGCTATAGATCACCCATGCCAGAATGTCTGATGGACTCCTGAATACGGAGAGCTGGAGCTCAGAACAGAGAGGGACACGGGAGCCATCCATGCATTGGCGGTCACAAAGCCAAAGTTGGGATCAATGAGGGAGATCACAGAGTGAGAAAAGGTTCCTCAATTCTGGAGAAACTGTGGGAGTTAATGGTCAGGATCAAAACAGGCAACTTCTCTCTGACCACCTCACAAGCTCTTTTCCCCTCCACTAATAGATGCCCAATACCTCCTAAGTTAGTATGCTGGCATTTGAGCAACTCCCCTTGGTGGACAGCTCTACCTTACACTGAGCCAAAATCTGTCTCTCAGATAACCCATGTTAGTCCTCAATCAACCCCTTGGACTGTAAGAAAAAGGCCTCTGTAATCCATCTCCAACATAGTCAACTTTTAGAGAAAACTAACAGCATGTGGCAGGTCGGTTACTGAATTTTCCCAGGGAAAACAGGATGTAGGGAGGAGGGTATTAAAACAAAGAACTGAGTACATAACCAGTAGCACCTTTTCCAGGTAGATACACCTGCCATAATTAGAAAAAGGTAGGTGGGAACAAGAAAAGGCCTCAGCCCATTTTTTAAAATAATCCAATAGGAAACAATAAGGCAAAGCCGATATATGGGGAAAACTGCTGATCCCATAGTACTCCAGCCAAGGAGGAACAGGGAGAGGGACTCTCACACATCAGGAAAAAATTGCCTGTGATTGCCACTCTGTATGTGCCTGTTCAATAGTGCATTACATGTCTCATTTTCACCATACTTTATGTCTTCGAATCTGTTATTTGAATTTGGACAGTTGAGGGTTTCTCATAATTTGGGGGTGAGTCTAGCTCTTGGGTGTGCAAGAAACCTCCAGTAAAGGGGAGAGAGAGGAGTACAGTGCAAGAAACGTCCAGTAAGGCCCAGCTGGAGTGACTAAGTGATTGAGCATCAGCCTATGAACCAGGAGGTCACAGTTCGATTCCCAGTAAGGGCATATGCCCAGATTTCAGACTCTATCCCTAGTGTCTAGTGTGGGGGGTGCAGGAGGCAGCCAATCAATGATTCTCTCTTAACATTGATATTTCTATATCTCTCTCTCCCTCTCCCTTCCTCTCTGAGGTCAATGAAAATATTTTTGAAAAAAAGAAAAGAAACCTCCAGTAAGGAAGGTTGAGTACATAGAATAGTCACAGGGACTTGCTGAGGATGGGAAACAAGAATTCTAGGCCTAGGAAAAACAAGAAAAGCAGAATCATGGAGGCTCCCTTACACATTCCCCCAGATAGTTCACTGGGGTGAATGCTGATGTTCTGGAGGATAGTCCCCAAACCAGGGACAAAAGAAACAAAAGATGATCAAATACTATTGTTTTATATGGCCTAAAGATCCAATTCATAGACCGTCTCTTTTTGCCCAAGTTTGATTCAGACGAAGACTGGGTTATCCTGATCAGCTCCAGATGGCAAAAGAACTCTAGCAGTCCTTGGCCTGGTCTCTGAGTCCTTATCCCAGATCCACCCTGGGACAAGAGACATTACTCAGCTTCAGTGTTTTTTGTTTATTTATTTGTTTTTATGCAGGGCATTCTGTGGTGTCTATGGCTCGACAGACAAGGAGCATGATATGAAGTTTGTATCCGTGAGTTATGCATGCCTGTAAATATTGTATATGCGAATGTCTCTGTTGATGTTTTGTGTCTCTTTGTTGTTTGGCTTAATTTGTTTAAAGATGGGGCATGTCCTGCTTTGGGAGGCCCAACTGCTTGTGGCAATGTTTGCAGGAACTTCCAGCAGCTGCCAAGAGTTCTTAATCTTGGGGACCCTTCCTGCCCTACCCTCTCAACAACAGCCAGAAACTCTTAGCTAGTGAGAGTTCTTGTCTATCTATCTGTAATGTAACTTGGTTGCTGATGTTCATTGTTTGCTTTCTTATCTTGGGTGGATTTAGTTTTCTTTTTGCCATTTTATGAACATAGGGAATCCTTTGTCTCTGCTGTTTGGCCTTTGTGCCATTCAGAACCCATTTGCTGTGCTGGGTTAGTGTGAGATAAGACTCTAAGGCTAATAGAATCTTATTAGCCTTTTGAGAGTACTCATTTATTTACTGTAGGGTTTTTGAGATCTCTTCTTATATGCAAGATTTCATATTGTTAGTCTACTCAGAAAAAAAAAATCCTGCCGAAACCAGTTTGGCTCAGTAGATAGAGCATTGGCTTGCGGACTGAAGGGTCCCAGGCTCGATTCCAGTCAAGGGCATGTACCTTGGTTGGGGGCACATCCTC